TAGGGTGTGTGGTCCTGCTGCAATCCCTTCTCCTCCCTTTCTCCATGTGCCTGGTAAATTTTTAAATCCACCGGGAGCAGGATTCACACTGAGGTCTGCCATGCGGGATCCGGCTTCTCTTAACCACCAGGCTTCACGTCTGGCCTGACGTTAATCTTAAACGTCCCGACAAACATTTGCCTGTTCTAGGCGACATGTAGTAAAAAGTTTCCTGATTTTCCTTATATGATGGATGAAATTGAAACTCGTCCTCTTACTATGCATCTTGAGATAGACACATAGTCTGGGTAGTCACAAGCACTTCATTCCCCAAACTGACTGAGCTTGCAAATAATACCATGGAATAGGTAGTAGCCACTTGGCAGGGTGTATCCCTTCCTTCCTTCCTTCCTTCCTTCCTTCCTTCCTTCCTTCCTTCCTTCCTTTCTTCCTTCCTTCCTTCCTTCCTTTCTTCCTTTCTTTCTTTTTCTTTCTTTTTTTCTTTAGAGAGGTTTTTGCTAAAGGGCGCATGTGCTAGCCAGAAAGACAGAGAGAGACAGAAAGACAGAAAGCGAGAAATCATCTCCCAGGGGGGATGGCCACGCCGCAATCCCTTCCCCTCCATTCTCCTCTCGGGATCTTGGGCACGCACGCACACGCGCTCGGCGTGAGTTTAAGCCACTGAGTCCGGGACTCAAACTGCAGGCTACTACATGGGAGTCCAGCGACATAGCCAGTACGCCAACTGCTGGTCCCAGCAATGTGTATTTCTAATACTAAGTATGCAGTGTAAGAGACTGTCAAAAAGTTCACAAAAAATACACACACACACAGACATATATGTATAATGAAAAAACGATGCCTGGATTTTGTTTCTGCACCAAAATAAACTCATCCTTTAATTCCATTTTTCACAGACTTTTTGAATCTCCCTTTATATGTGCTTTTCTTTCTTTTTTTTTTTTTGTCAATTCAATAAATATTAATATTATCAAGAAAAGGGTAAGCACGGATTTACTGTAAAGAGTAAGTGAAAGGTGAGGTCCTTTTCTGTTTTCTAGTTCTTCAACCTGACTCTAGCTGTTCACTCACTCTGTTGGTTAGCTTTGAGTGATTTTCTTTTTCTAAGAGGCAGTCAATCACATATAATCTGACTAATGCTAGAAGGAGAGTACTGGAAATTGAGCCTAGAAAGGCAAGCCTGTGTCCAGTAATTACGTTGGCCCCAAATGTCAGGGGACTCAGAGTATTTAGTAATATTTTTGGAACATTGCAGTCCTTCAGATGTTCTAGGGCCGGCCCCATAGTGTAGTGTTAAGCCCTGTGCACAGAGAACTGGGTCCCACAAGGCCAACAGCAGTTCAGATCCCAGGACCCTGAGCCCTGGTGGCTTGAAACGTATACCCGTGTGTGCATACGCATGCACAAGATGGAGAAATAGAGAAAACATTATTGTGGTGTGAGCATGCTGCATCGAGGAGTCATTCTCTTTCTGTCTCTGGTCCTCTAGCAATAAAAAATTTTAAAGAATAAAGAATGTTTAAAAAGTTTAGGGCCAGCAGTACCTGCTCAACACATCTTTGTTACATAAAGAGGAATGGGGACCAGCTGACGGCATGATGGTTACTCTGCTGGACTCGCACATAGTCGACTGCGATTCCGGTCCCCAACCCGGCCACTTAAACTCACGCCAGCTGCCTGTGCGTGTGTGCCCAAAATCCCAAGAGGAGACCGCAGGAGAAGGGACGGTGGCGTGGCCGTCCCCCCTCGGGAGTGATTTCTCACTTTCTGTCTCTCTGGCGAGTGCACGTGCCCTATAGCAAACATCTCTCTGGCCACAATGGTGTCATGGTGAGGCAGTGTTCCGCCAGGCGGAAGCCACATGGAAATGTCCCATATTTGTGTCACGAGGTCTCCCTGTGTACACTGGGCAGAAATGCAGGTGCCTATGATCCGGGCTGACTGAGGCCAGGAGCGGATCACAGTATGGAAGGACTTTTTGCTGGTCTGTCTCTGTCTCTCTCTCTCTGTCTTCATGCACAAAATAAATAAATGAACTTTTTTTTTTTTTAGATGTTTGTTAAAGAGCATGTATGCTTGCTGGGGAGACAGAGAGACAGAGAGAGAGAAAGCAAGAAATCACCTCCCAGGGGAGATAGCCATGGCACAATCCCATCCCCTCCAGTCTCTTAGGATCTTGAGCACACACGCATATACACCCGGCGTGAGTTTAAGTCTCTGGGTCTGGGAATCGAACCACGGTCAAGGACATGGGAGCCCAGCAGCGCAAACCTAATGCCCCCTATGCCATCTGCTGGTCCTAAACTTTTTGTCCCCCCTCATGGGGCTTTTCATTTCATAAAAGCCCATGTATATTTGGGGCTGCATCTCTGATTCCAGGCTGTGGTGTTGGCTCAGCCGGGCAGTGATGAGACAGGATGGCCTTCCCACTGTGACTCAGCACTCACGAGGCGTCTGCCCAGGTCCTCAGGCCCGGATGGAGACAGCGCTCTGCGGACAATCATGGCAGCAGAGGCATCTTCCCTGCTTGCACGGGACAGGAGGTAGGCCGGCTCTTACAGCCATTCCACATGTGCCTCCAGAGGCCGTCTTTCCCTCGCACAAAATAAATAAATGAACTTTTTTTTTTTTTAGATGTTTGTTAAAGAGCATGTATGCTTGCTGGGGAGACAGAGAGACAGAGAGAGAGAAAGCAAGAAATCACCTCCCAGGGGAGATAGCCATGGCACAATCCCATCCCCTCCAGTCTCTTAGGATCTTGAGCACACACGCATATACACCCGGCGTGAGTTTAAGTCTCTGGGTCTGGGAATCGAACCACGGTCAAGGACATGGGAGCCCAGCAGCGCAAACCTAATGCCCCCTATGCCATCTGCTGGTCCTAAACTTTTTGTCCCCCCTCATGGGGCTTTTCATTTCATAAAAGCCCATGTATATTTGGGGCTGCATCTCTGATTCCAGGCTGTGGTGTTGGCTCAGCCGGGCAGTGATGAGACAGGATGGCCTTCCCACTGTGACTCAGCACTCACGAGGCGTCTGCCCAGGTCCTCAGGCCCGGATGGAGACAGCGCTCTGCGGACAATCATGGCAGCAGAGGCATCTTCCCTGCTTGCACGGGACAGGAGGTAGGCCGGCTCTTACAGCCATTCCACATGTGCCTCCAGAGGCCGAGAGCCGCTTCTGTCTGATGTCTGCATCTGCAGCCTCGCTGAGAGCAGCAGCAGCTCAGGCCGGCAGCTGAACAGATGCTAACTCGTGGCGACCACAGCGCATCTGAATCACACTGGGGCCATGAGACTCAAGGTGACCCCTGCCCACCTTAACCCCGCAGTTAATTATTCATTTCCCTTGTCTTTCTAAATCATCGGGACAGCTGGAGACAGTCTGAAGATCATGTCTTTATTTCCATTTCCACCTTACAGCTAGCTTGCTTGCTTACTAGCAGTGCCTCCCTGCAAAACAGAAAGCAAACACCCACACCTTTCCCTTTTTGAAAAAAAAAGAAAAAGGAAATACCTTTCTCTTGAAACTTTCTTTTTAAAAGACCCACAACATAGACTGTCATCGAATCCATACAGTTACATTATTTTCACTGCACGTTTTCTCCTGGAGACCTGCGGTTACGCAGAGGGAGGAGTTGCCATATGACGAATCAGGAAACGGACAGACAGAGGCATATACATTGTCTCAGTCATGCCCAGAAACGCAGCTTACAGCAGCTGGGTCTCCCAGCGGAGAGCCATATGACTGATACTTCTAAGTCTTCTTATACATTACTCATTAAGATCACAGCGCATTTGTCTAAAGTAAACGGGAATTAGCGACCACGTAAGACGGTCACTCCTGATTACACGTTAACCACATGACTAATTTATACGTAGGAAGCCAGATCTTGGTCATTAGTCATGCAGATGTCTAATGCATTTAGAAAGAGCTCTCAGGATGGGAGAAATAACCCCAAAGATACTGTTCAGCTCTGCTCTAGTTAAGTCCTTCGACTGTCACAGACTAACCAAAAATGGAACACAGTATTCATCTTGTTCCAGAGGTTTTAAAGTAGCAAGGGAATAGGAAGTGAACAGAATTGCAGCAGCCATCAACCGACTCAGGAGGGGTTGAAATTCTGGATGTTATGAGACAAAAGTAACAGTTAACTTCACACTCCATTGAGGAATTGTTTCAAGAAAGACTAGATGGTATAACACAGGTAAGACTCAGTCTTTCTCTCCAAAAATGAATGGGATGATGGCTTGATTCAGAATATCTTGAAGCAAAACTCAACAAATGTTGAGGCCAGCAGGTGACGTGGTAGTTAACACGCTGGAGTTCCACGTGGTCGACCCGAGTTTGAGTCCTGGACCTGGCAGCTCGGTTTTTTTTTTCTCTCTCTCTGGTAAGCACATATGCCGTGTAGCAAATTGATAATAATAATAAATAAAATTAAATAAATAATTCTTTATAAAACAATCAACAGAGGGACCAGCAGTTAGCGTAATGGCTATTTCGCTGGACGCCCACATAGTCAACCGCGGTTCGAGTCCCGGACCCGGTGGCTTAAACTCATGCCGGGTGAGTGTGCATGTGTGCCCAAGATCCCGAGAGGAGAAGGGATTGCAGCGTGGCCATCCCCCCGGGGGGTGATTTCCTGCTTTCTCTCTCTCTGTGTCTGTCTGGTGAGCGCATGCTCCCTATAGCAAAAACCTCTCAAAAAAAAAAAAATCAACAGACGTTGACCATGGAAACTCCTCCACACATACTTCAAACAGTAGAAAACCCCATTCTAGTATCTTCTGTGACATGTTGAAGGTGAAAGTCGAATGGTGTCCTTAACCATAAATGTATGTGGTACCTTCCAACACATCCGGCCCCGTTCTCTGAGGTTTGCAAAGCCACCTGTTGGCCAGTCATAGATACGAACATGAAGACAATGAATCTGCCCACCACATGTGCCCGGGGAAAGGCCGGTTTCCAGCCTCCCCGGCAGGTAAAGGAAGACTGACCTTTGGAAGAGCAGAAGTGCTTGCTGGGGGCAGTGAAGCCTCGGGTCCCATGCACGTTGACAGCGGCCACTCGGAACTGATACCACCTGCTGGGTCGTATGTCAGTCAGTTGAACACGCTCGTCTGTGGTCTGAGGGGATGTGTCATAGAGCACAGGGAACATGTCAGTTGTTATTCTGACACATCTGTCTTTAAAAATGCACTCATCTCAGGACCAGCAGGTACTATAATGACTGTGTTGCTAGACTCCCATGTAGTCAACCATGGTTCGAGTCCCAGACCTGGCAGCTTAAAACTCACACTGGGTGCGTGTGCATGTGTGCCCAAGATCCCAAGAGGATACTGGAGGAGAAGGGATTGCGGCATGGCCATCCCTGCTGAGGGGGGATTTTTCACTTTCTGTCTCTCTGTCTCTCTGGTGAATGCACGTGCCCTATAGAAAAATCTCTTTCAAAAAAAGAAAAAGTACGTTGATTGGCCAGTGCAAGTCACCCTTGGCTTTCCCCCGGACACATGTGACTTATCACGCCCAGTTATGAGAAGAAGCTATCGGAAAACAAAGAACTTTTGCTATCTCAGCCCAATGAGTCAAACACCTCTGAAGTCAAGATCTTATGACCATGGCTTGGTTTGGCATGGCCCCAAAGCCTTGCTGATCAAGGCAACCTGACCCCACATGACTAAAGGTTTAAGTCCCGATGCCCATAGCTTGAAAAACACACCAGGTGTATGCGTGTGCAAGCCGAAATCCTGACAGGGTGGAGAAATGGAGGAGAAGGGATGGTGGCATGAACACATCCCATTGGGAAGGGTGTCCTCCCTCTCCTACTCTGTTTCTCAGTCTCTCTCTAGAGAGAGCACACGCCCTCTGGAAATTGAAAAATATATATAGACAGAACAATGCTTGAACTATTTTTAAATCTGGTGACTAAACATAGCGTTTGAGGGATTGAGCCAATAAAAAATATAGATGGATGTAATCATTGTATTTTAGACAAGAAAGTGAAGTCATGTGGAGATTACAGGAAGAAAACACCTCTTTGACATTCCGATCTTATTCTAGAATTTAGGATGACCACCCACATACTTAATACTAATGATTTCTGGGAATAAACCCCAACATCCTCCTTTCCCCTGTGTGTGTGTGTCTGTACATATGTGTCTAATATGATCTTTTAAAATAAATTATGTAATATCTGTGAGGAACCAGTCTTGGTCATAAAGGGTGAGATTTATTAGTCTTTGTTCAATAAAATGCCTAAAGAATAAACAAGACACTGCAGAAGGTCCTTAGGCTTTATATATAAAAGATGATTGATTGATCTCTATATCTATATCTATATCTATATCTATATCTATATCTATATCTATATCTATATCTATATCTATATCGGCTTTGTGGTCTCTTCTACTACAGTCTCAAGATATCAGGACCAGTAGATGGCGTGATGGTTACGCCACTGAACTCCCACATAGTACTGTGGTTCAAGTCCCAGACCCGGAGGCTTGAAACTCACGCCAGGCACATGTGCATGCATGCCCAAGATCCTGAGAGGAGAAGGGACTGTAGCGTGGCCATCCCCCTGAGGGGTTATTTCTTGCTTTCTGACTCTGTGTTTCTTTCTCTGGCAAGTGCACATGCCCTATAGCAAAATTCTCTCTTAAAAAAATATATATATCAGAACACTTCAAAGGTCTCTATCTGCTTTCAGCAATGTTCTAGGTGTTGCTTTCATTGGTACATCTGGAAATCTTTGCCCTGAATTCCAAGGCATTAACGTCTATGCCCTCCCCTGTGCCTCGCGGTGACATCAGCTCCGCTCTGAAAAGGAAACTGACCGGGAAGGAAGCAGGATTGCTTTTGAAGCGGTCAGACCTCAGTTTCTAATACCTGCTGAAAAGGACTGTGGCATTTTCATCAGCTTCTCAAAGGAGCGAAGCATTTCTGAGATCAAAAGAAGAATAGGAACTCTTCAATGTGACTTTTTTTTTACCTGATTGGGCAGACTTTGAGACAACACGAAATGACTTTACCATTTCCTTTTAGCTATGCTTTTTTGTTTGTTTGTTTTTTTAAGATTTTTGCTTTACTGAAATGTGCACTCACCTAAGAGAGACAGTGGGAGGGAAAGTGACAAGTCACCTCCCTCGGGGGTGGCCACACTGCAAGCCCTTCTCCTCCAGTTTCCTCTCAGGATTTTGGGCATGCGTGCACACGGGCCCAGCTTGATTTTCGAGCCTCCATGTCCGGGACTCGAATGGTGGTTGGCCATTTGAGAATCCAGCACCTTAACCACCACACTGGGAATTTTCAAAGCTTAAAGTAATTGTGATACCCACAGCACTTAGAAGACAAAGACGGGAATTATTACCTGTGACGTTAATAACAGTAATAACAACAAACTACGAACTTTCCTCTTCCCAGTAAAAGAGAGGATGAAAGAGACTATCTCAGCAGCACCTGCTTGCCTCAGTCTTAAAATAGTTTGGAAAATTTACAAATGAATCTGCCATTTGCATCACATGGAATTTTAGGCTGTACTCTGAGTGGCTTTATGTTGTATTGGAGCAAATTATTTTTTACAACATACAGAATTACTACATTTGTTTGTCCAGGTATTTCTTTTTTCCTAGTTTAAATTTTTTTTTCCTCTTTCACTTATTTATTTTTACATTTTTCCACAAACATTTACTTTACATAGAAAAAATTTTTTTAATCTCGGGAACCAGCAGTTAGCATAATGGCTATGTCGCTGGATGTAGTCGACCGCAATTCGCGTCCCGGAACCAGGGGCTTAAAACCCACACCAGGCGCGTGTGCATGCGTGCCCAAGATCCCGAGAGGAGAATGGAGGAGAAGGGATTGCGGTGTGGCCATACCCCCCGGGGGGTGATTTCTCACTTTCTGTCTCTGTCTCTCTCTGTCTGTCTGGCGAGCGCACGCGCCCTATAGTGAAAAACCTCTCAAAAAGAACAAAATTTTTATCTCTTAAAATTTAAGCTTCCTACTTTTGTGATCGACCCATTATTGTAGTGTCTATTGGCTTGGAGATACTGTTATAGAGGAAAGAACCACATTCTTCCCATAGCTGAATGCTGAATTTTATTTTATATTTACTGGAAAAAACAAACAAACAAAAAAAACAACTTGGGAATCTACTCCTTGGAAAAATGATTTGATTAACTTTGGGTGACATTTGTTCCCTACAAGACATACACGGGGGAGAAGGCATTTTAATTGTTGAAAAGCATGAAGTGTTTTGGCATTGAGAACTTCTTCTGTAGCCATGCAGGATCCCCCCACCCCCACCCCCTTGCAGCTGGTAGTCCATTTAACAGTTCTTAAAAAGAAAGAAAATATTTTGCTTTCCTCATCAATGAGACAGAGGAAGAGGAAGCACTGTTAAGATAAACCCCAGGGAGTGTTGCCAGCTAGGTGGAATATCCATTTTTCAGTTGACTCAGATGAAAAAGAAAGTACTTAGGGAAGATTTATGAGCTGTTGGCTCCTTCCCAGCAGGCCCTTTGTGATGTAACTCTGACTCCATGGCCCTGGCTTCCTTGGGTGGAATGAAGGCTTACGTAGGAGAAACCAAAGTCATTTGGATTATCAAATTTCAGATTGATCACTCCTAACGCTGTAGCATTGCCCTTACGCAAGATGGTTTTTTTTTTTTGGAGAGATTTTCACTGTAGGGCGCGTGCACTCGCCAGACAGACAGAGAGAGACATAGAGACAGAAAGCGAGAAATCACCCCCCAGGGGGGATGGTCACGCCGCAATCCCTTCTCCTCCATTCTCCTCTCGGGATCTTGGGCACGCACACACACGCGCCCGGCGTAAGTTTTAAGCCACCGGGTCCGGGACACGAACCACGGTCGACTATGTGGTAGTCCAGCGACATAGCCATTATGCTAACTGCTGGTTCCCCGCAAGATGGTTTTGACTTTAGCTGAAGGGAAACGGAGTTCGTAGAGAACGTAAGTGTGAATCATCCAGTTATCAAGTTCTCTCTGTTCCATGTGTGCTTTGAGTGGATCAAGCCACTACCCAAGGTTCAGATGGACCCATTTACAAATATTGAGCTCATCTTCTCATCAGCGGACATGCCATTATTTCTACATTGGGTTATTATTTTTTTTGACAAAGCGAGCAAGTAAATTTGAAATGCCCAGGTGGACACCACCTCAGAAGCTAAAAGGATTTGAAGTCTGAAGTCAGCAGGTGGCGTGCTCGTTAAGGTGCTGGACTCCCACATGGCCACCTGTGGTTTGAGTCCTGGACCTGACGGCTTTCTTTCTCACTTTCTCTCTCTCTCCAGAGAGTGCACAGATGTTACAGGAAATTAAAAAATAATAATAAAATTAAATAAATTAAATAATAATCAAATAAAAAA